AAATGTGACATTCTTAACCCTCTCGGCAAACATCTGGCCCCCGTTTTTTTACGTAGGTCTCAAAAACAATGAGTCATTTGCTGTCACTATGGCGATTCATTTGGAATTTCCCAAACAGTGCCAGAGACTGAGACATGCATGTTTATTTCATAAAGAGCCATACCTTGTGTTGTTTCACTGCTATCTTGATGCATATTTGCAAATTTGCTCCTTGCAATTACTTTTGGATAAAGGGGATTTAGCTGTTGATGAAATACCTGTGAGGTATTCTGTGCCCTCAACCGGGAATGATTTGAAGAACTCAACTCCTCTGTCTCTTTCAGTTTCTTTTCATATGTTTTCCATTATAGAAAACTCAGAGATGACCCATCAAAACAGATCAAGGGACCCACTTATTGCTCACACATTGTGCAGCACAGACTCTATTAACACATTTTCAAATGGAAGTTTTGTGGCTTTTCTCTCGCAGTTAAGACTATAATTTCTGAAAATGCTCCAAAAGCACGTTACATTTTTTGTTCACTCTTCTTCGTACTGGATCAGCAGGAGGTTGGTACTTCTAGGATGAGGGTATAAGACTGAGATTCAATTACTCACTGTGGTCCCCATTTAGAAGGAACTGAGCTGCTGCCAGAACTTCAAGACAAATAAAAGATAAATAGAGGATCCAGAGGGGTTTCTGCTTGCTGCAGGGTTCACACAGTGCTGTTGCCTGCTGCTTCACAATGCTCTGCAAACCCTTCTGTTCTCCCTAAGGAGGATGTAGCTCACTGTGTTACAAAAAAATAAAAAAAAATGTATAAAATATGACTGCATGCAGCAAGATGCTCTGCTTAGAATAGGGTAAAATAACTCAAACAATGCCCTATTTGCAAGGCTACCAGTGGTGAATGTAGAAGGGGCCATCGTGCTGCTTTTGGAGTTGAATAATGCTGAAACCAATCTGACTCATCAATCCCAAAGTTAAACATCCTGGTAGTGAGATGAAGATGTAGCAGACATGGTAAAGTACACAGGCCAGGGAAGAAATAAGAGATACTACTAATAACTTGTCTAAAACTGCTGAGCTGACACAGCTAGCCTGGAGACATCTGACTGATAGTCAATCACTTTATACTATAAAAACCCAATCCCACCTTTTAAAGGCAGGATTTTCTAACATACCCCTTGGAGTGTGTCTGCAGATTACTTGCTTGAGTGGGGATACCCTTCAAGATTACTTCCGTGACCTGGCCATAGTCATTAGCATATAACTAACATCGATCTGTACTTAATATTAGTTTTTTCCAACTTTAATGAAATTGTTTTAATATAATTGCTTCAATATCGTTTCAAAATGGTGCATTATACTATACTAGTGGATATAGCTCTTATACTATGTAGTAAACAATTCTGATTAAGATTTTTTTTTTTTTCAACTCACTATCTCTATTTATTTACTATTTATGTAAATATATCTGTTTTGCCATTCTTAATCCTGTGGGATAAAGTTGTAGAAAGGTTCAAACACATCTCAGGAATTCCTTAGACTTCCCATTGACAATATGGGGCTAAGATTAGACCCAGTGGCACCTAGGTTGCTCTCTGAGGAAGAGTTTAGAAAGTAAGGGAGTTCTTTCTGCGCCTCATATTTCAGCAGAAAGGCTTTTCTGATAAAGTTTATCTGAAACTCCTATTCTGCCCATGACACTGCAATCCTCATTTATTGCAAAACAGCATAAAGTGAATAAGCACTGTCCTTCCTAACCCTAGTCTGCTGGCTGTGTAGCATTTAGGACTTGATTTCAGAGAAGAAAATTCATCATTCCTTTTGTTATTAGGAAGACATGAATATTTCAGAAAAGGTTTATCTAGCTTATTTTTCTTAGCCATATCCTGCAATTTATGTGTGTACAAAGACAGTTGTCAAACTAATGCATCCAAAACTTATACATCCTCTAACGTTATATGTTATGTATGTTATGTTATGTTATGTTATGTTATGTTATGTTATGTTATGTTATGTTATGTTATGTTATGTTGTTATGCCTTTGGGACTGACCATGGGATTTTTCCATTTTCTGTTTCTTTTACCCTAGGTGGTTCCCCTCATTTACTTAGCAATTTGCTCTAACCTGCTGGCCAATCCTTATGAACCTCAGCTTTTCTTTCACCACATGTACATAGCATTAGCTTTGATTCTCTGAATCTGAAGAAGGTGCAGTAGTTTTTGTGAAAAGGCAAATTATAAATTATATATATGTATGGTCATTGTGTGATTGTGGCAGCCTCTCCAGAAAGGAATAAATCTCTCCTATGAATCCTTACTGATGTCACTGCTTTAGAAACACCCCTCAGAACTGCACTTGGTACCTATTTATGTGCATGTGGGTTGACTCCACAGAACCATCTTCAAGGTATAAGCCATGCTGGTAAGAGATGACTACATTGCATATTGCAAAAATACAAAAGACAAATATACCTAAATATGATAATTGTTTCTGTGGAGAATTCTGAGGAGGTTTGAAGGAATATATGTTGTCCCCTTCCCTTCTTATCCATGTCTGCATAGAGTATCACTTTCAAAGCACTATGTTTAAAAATTGCTGTTAATTTCTTTTACTACTCTCAGAAATATTGTGAGTTCATAACAGTCCTCTGCAGCAGGTGTCACATTCTCTGTTTCACACTTCTTCCAGAGAGTCAGTGGGGTTCAAAACTTTATTGACAACTACAGGGACAGAAAATTGCATCTCATGGAGATCAGATTCTCTTATGGGATGAAATGCTAGAAAAACAACCAACTGAGAATCACACATGTAGAAGCAAAGAGCACTGCATATTTTTTTTTTTATAAAAAGCGGTAGTACTTTTCTTTGTAAGGATTTCTGATAGGGGTTTCAATGCAATATTACTGCCAAAAACACTTCTAGGGGGCAAGTGAGAGGAGAAATGTGTTTTTATCTGCAAGGAACATTGCAAGTGAAACTGCTCTTACAATACTGTGCCCAATTCTAGCATGTGTGTTTTAGAAGTGTTCTTTAAAAATTGAAAAGGACTGAAAAGAGGCAACAAAAATATTTTTGAGGAACATAGATTCATGTGATAATTCACCACAAGGAGGTCCAGAGATGACTTGTTGATACAGCTTAAGTACTCTTACTGAGGGGGAAAATTAAGGTTTAAGTCTTGTTTCATGTAGTAGAGAAGACAACAAGGATCAGTGGCTGTAAGTCAAAGACAGATGAGATAAATTTTTTAATAAGTGACATATGATTTTCTTTTTTAAAGGTGAGGCTGTTAAACTCTTGGGAACGTTCATGAACTGTTGACATGTTATTATATGCACAGTGAGAACTTACTAGGAAATACAGTTAGTGAACATAAATTATGCTCTAACCAAATATAAGTTAATGAGCTCAATTCAAAACTAAGTAGATGAAATTTAAGAAGTTCTAATGATCCCTCTGGCCTTAATCTCTGTAAATTTTGAGTGCTAATTAAGTAACCATTTTTCCTGAGTAAGGACTTCAATATCTAACCACAAAGTAGGAACACATAATTTCTTGTTCCCCTCTAGAAAAGGTGTTTGTCTGACATGGGTAACTGTATGCTGGCATGTTAGAGAATTTGCATAGCTGTTCAGCTCTCACAAAGTCTTTGTGAGAACATCTCTTTTCTAAGAAACAAAATGAAAAGCACTTGCCGCTTGAAAATTGTAAGGATTTGATTTGAATGCCATTGTGGGATTTTCTCTCACATTTTATATTACAGGAGTCAAATGTGTAGCCCAGGAACTGTGCTTCATGAAACCAAACTGTTATGTTTGGTTTAGAAAACTGAATATAGATCCCTCAGGCACTGTTTTTTCAGGCGATCCCATGTGAGACAGAGCAGAGGTGGAAAAGCAAAGCAAAACCTCTCTGACAGATCCTCTCCAGACAAGTTTTTTTCAAATAATAGGAGAAAAGGAGAGTCTATGTTTAGCTTCCAACCCAAAATCTGACTGCTCTGTAGTTTTCAGGCTGTTTGGCTAGGCCACTTTCTTTCCCACTGAGAAGCAGTCATAAAGCTCATGTGGTTTATTTGAAGAGTAGTGTGGAAAACACTGAACATCTGTCTCCTATCTTCCGACAGGCTGTGTAAAGATGTGTTTCAACAAAGTGGATTGCAAAATTCATGACCTCAACTTGAGCTATCTTATGCTGGCTATATCTTTGCAGAGAGGGATAAGTATGAGAGATGAATAATTTTCTTTTTATATGATCTTATTTTCAATTAGCCTTTGGGAGACCTCCCCTATGTATTGACATCATTGACATGCCAAAATGATTCACTGCATTGAAAAGAAAACTTAGGAATGCAAGTAGAGGGGACACATAGTCTTGAAAAGCTCTACAGTAGAGGGGTCTCAGGGAGGACACCTCCATGGAAACTTCTCTGGGAAATGAGGATAATTCATCATTTTGAATAAAAATCCTGTCTGGAATACCACGGAAAGAGATGTATTAGGTCATTAATATTTTTTTTTTTTTTATATATATTATTAGGTTATTCTCTACCTTTGAAATCATGAGTTCAGATTTGTCAGCTTCAACTCATGTAAGAGAGAAAAAAATACAGGCATGGAAATGTCACTTCCAGTTGATTTTTAGTTTATGCTTCCCCTGCTGCTGCCCCTACTTCCATTTCCTTTCTTTCTTTCCCTTTCTCCTTTCTTTCCCTGACTCTCAGGTCTGGAATTTCAGAATATTTTGATGGTTATATACTTTTTGTTTTCTTATTTTTTGCATGTGTCATGGAGTTACTTTACCTTTAAGAAAGTCGGAGTTGCTGGGATCTGCCTGGAGTCTTTTCTCCTGACCAATTATCAGTCATTGCTGGGAATTGACAGCAGTTTAGGCCATTGAAAAGTGGGATCAACTTGTGAACCCTACCTTAAAATGTAAAAGCAGAGCACTCTGAGTTCTTTTTGTTTCCTGGCTGTGGAG